TCGTTTAGTTCTGCTAGATGGCGTTGCATCAGTGAATCTATTTCAGTTTTGACATTGCAAATAACAACAGAGGGGTGGCGTCATGGTAGAGGGCACGGCTCGATCGCGAGGTCTCTGGTTCAAATCCTGCGTATTGTAGTTTTTTAATTGCTTCAAAATTTTTATATATTTGATTAAATTTCTCATAAATTTTTTCAAAAATCGAAATTGAAATTTGAAAGTCGAGCGCTCTCGACTAGAGTTTTCTTACTTGTTTATTATTATTAAATACTGATATTATAAAAAGAAAATAAATAATTTGTAAAAACAATTGGGACTTGAAAACAGATCAATGGGAATTCTGGGTATAATGGTTTTGTTGAAATGTATGTAACAGGATAGGTTTCTTTTTTTTTGTATTCATAGAAATTGAAGTTATAGAGGCGCACAGAAGTATCACGCAGTCGTTTATGCTTCATTGCAAAGTTCCTATTTTCTTCATGAAGCTGGTAGATAAGGGCCACATGTATACGGCTTTTTACCAGTCTCAAATTTAATTATGTAGTTGCCAGTCATAAAGGTTATGGAGGTGTGTATTTTTTTTTAACATTCTGCATGGGCTAAATATAATGCAATAGCATTTTTTTACACTGAAGCTATTTTATTAGAAAATCTGTAATTATATTCTCAATATATGTATGCAGGCTATACATACAACTCTTTAAAAAAATTGTATATTAGGGGAAAGAAGGCGAGAGAAACAATAAGTATATTGTAAGAAATGTTATGAATAATGTTTTCTTTTTTTTTTTATTTTTCCTTTTGATCAGCACATGTAAAATGACTTTACTTTAAGTTAAAAAAAAAGTTATAGCAATAACTGCTGTTTTTAGTAACCAATTGGCACCAATAATCAACACATGTGACACAACAAAAACAATTTTACGGATTTAAAAAACATATATTTACCTATAGATATATGTATGTATACTAAAATGATAGGAAGGGTATTCGCGTCATCACATAATCCTATAAAAGTTTACTCTGTTGATCTTTGCAAATTTTTCGTTTATCTCTACTGCCATTGTTGTAGCTGTTTTCGTTGTTGTCATTGCAGCATGGCATTGCATTTGCGCATGCGCAAAGCAAAACGTGTTGCAGCTGCGTGTCGTCAAAGTTATTGTAGCTGATGCAATTGCTGTTCCTCTGTTTGTTGTCGCTCTTACTGCATTGTTGTTCTCGTAGCTAATGAAAAGTGAAGGTAAATAAAGCCATTGCCCTCGCTGCGAAATGTCAGCGTTCAAAGTTGGAACGAGGAACGCGAGACGTGCCGCTCGTAATTACAGTGGGCAACCCACCTTAAATTGGGCCAGCAATTGACGACCCAAGAGCACGTATACTTCCATTTCTAACTGAAGCATTTGAATGACTATTGGAACAGATATTTCTATGATCTACTTGTATCTACATATATTTCAAATGAGACACGCAAGCGATTTGTTGTTCTTTTGTTCCAAAATTGATAATAATATTAATTATTTGAGCACGTTTGGCCAGCCATAAATTTGTTATTGTGTCAGGCTGCACTAGCTGAATCTTAGGACGCAGACAATACCACAGCCAGATAAGGCAAGACTTTTATGTTCACATGCGATAAACAAAGCAGACAGCCTAATAATGTTTTAGTTACCCGAGACTGCGGAGCACAGAGTTTTCTCTGCTCAAATATTGCACTAGGTATAAATTGCCGCTGCATAAAACACAGAATGTTGGCTTTATCAAACCTTGACCCATAAAACGGGCGTATTCATTGGGCTTATTATGCGCGCCGTATAAAAATCTCCTCAACGAGCGAAATTTGTGTTTGTTTTAACAGATGAATTCAGACGCAAACCAGTTAATTTCCTCTCTGTTTTAGTTGTCAGTTTTCGTTTGCTTTACTTTGACTTTTTATTTGTTATTTTTTATTTTCATAATTTTATTATTTATGCGACTGGAATTCTGTTTAGTTCTCTCTGCGTCGAGTTATTTGCTTAATGATTAAGCCTCAACTATTTTCAAACCAAGTGTTGCCGGCACCCAATCTATAGATGAGGAATTTTTTCAACACCTTTTGTTAAATATATATTTATTTACTTTTTATTTGCAGTCAAATTGGGTGTTTGGGAGCGACACGTTAATCACGGGCAATTCGTTTACCAATTTGACTTTGAGCCGCGACTGTATAATTGGCTTTAAGCATGTGGCAAACAATCTATCATAATATCTGTCTCGCGCATATTGCCAGCTGCTCAATTATTTAAATTATATAAGCCCGAACGCATAATTGATTCTAATTAAGGCACAAACACACACGTCTGATCAGTTTTATATTATTAACTTTATTTCCAGGGTTTGGTCTTAACTTGATTTGAAATCAACGAACTGTACTCGACAAAAGGCCAGTGATCACTGAACGGAGTCTCTGGGCCACATAAAAGCGCTGTCGCTACGGCAACAGACTTCGCCACGCTGGCAGCGACGCCGGCAGCAATTGTGACGCCGACGACAACTGCGGTAGCGTGTAACGGAAGAAATTGCTCATAACTTGCCCTGAGTAAGGTAAGCAAGGCGCAAAAAAATAAATAATAAAAAACGAACACAAATACATGAATAAAATTGAAAACAAAAATAAAAAATACCCGTATTCAAAACGCAAATAGGTCAAAAGTTTTCCACAGGCTTTTTGATGCTTGATTTTGTAATACTTAAGACGTGATCCACGCCGAATACAAAAGCATTTAAAAATCCATTTATACTACGCGGAAATTTTGTTTGATTTCTGTTTGAATTTATTGATAAAAATATATATTTGATAATATATATTTTATACCCTGAGCCCATTGAAAATGGGAAATCAGGGTATAATGGTTTTGTTAA